GGCACATCATGTTATGGACCAGTAGCTTGCATCTGGCTATCTGAGCTCCTCTTAGATTTTGCTTTGGGAACACTCCTGAGTTAGAACAACATGGCCTCAAACTGTTTGGACAGCAAAGTACACATTGGCTGCGGGCACACGGGCAGGAAAATGCGAGGGGGAAGCGTGACTGTTTGCCCCGGGGCTAAAAACCGCGCGGTTGCACGAGCAGACCTACCGTGGAGGTCTCGTGGTAGGGGGGAGGTGCCGATCACTCCACAGTCCTGCGGCGCGGCAAAGAAGTGGGGCGCGGGGCAAACGGGTTTTTTTTTAAACTCAATTGTGCGCATGCTCCCTTGGGTGCTTGTGCGTATCCGTGGAGTCTTTGGGAAAAAAAACACCTTTTTGCGAGGGGACATGGGTGGGCGTCGGAACTACCACCGGAAACGCGATCAGACGCCCGCCCTTGCCCCGCGGTTTCAGGAAACTAGTACCTCCGAGGTACTAGTTTTTTACCACGCGTTTTCCGCGGGAAGCCTCGGGTTCGCCACGGGAGCTCGACACTTCCCAGATGTGGCGGTGAGATCGCGCCCGGAACATCTGCCTATCTTCCGTCCCTCTAGCGTGCCTAATGCTCCGTGCGACCGCGGCCATTGATTGGCTTTCTGTCTATGAAGGTTAATAATTCACGTTACTTTTCATGGGAATCAGGCTTTATTCAGACAGTAAAGATCCACCTTATGCTCCATTTAAGAGGCTCTCTAGGCGTAACTGAGTGGTGAGATTGGGTCTAGACAGTTCCAGAATGCAGATGGGGGAAATGGCATGTTGCGATTAGCTATTTTAAAAGCTCTACCCAGAGCCTCTCTTCCCCAACTCAAGGAGCTAATCCTGGCTAACCTCCACCTCACTAGCGCACAGTGAAGAAGGCAAGTGGCATCGCTTTCAGATCAGCACTCACTCAAAAACAGCTGCTTCAGTCATAGGAAGATACACCTCCCCAACATGCTGTGTTTGGCCCCAGCATGCACGGCAGCCATCTTGTGGCTTCTCCCTGTGACAGCCATTTTGTGGCGGCACCCACACACAGTCCTCAGACTTCCAGACTGCCCACAAGATCAATGAGGTTTGGGAGCCCTGTCCTACCAGTGACGCACCCCCAGGCTACTTGAGTCGGAAAAGAGTAAAATATGCACAGATCGTTATTGTCTAGAAATAACTAAGCGATAGGAGATTTAGTCCAACACCTTTTATTTATTTATTTATTTATTTATTTATTTTTGCTTACAGAAAACCTGATGCTGGATTGCAGATGGCTTACAACAATTTTCTGGCATGAAGACAGCTTCAAAGCACAAGCAAAAATAATCCCCACAGACAAATGAACTCAGAACAAAGGAAGAACAAAAAATAATGGTGTTTCCATGGCGTTGAAGAGTTCTTTATTTTTCCCCAAGTTTTCTTTTCTTAAAAAACGAACAAACAGGAACTTTCATGGGAACAAGACAGACTTACTCTTCAGGTGACAAATATTCAAGCATGTTCTTTTACTACATTTAAATTGAAAAAAGAAAGAAACTGAACGGAACACAGTGCCGAGAGAACCTGGGACACTGGAGACATCCGGTAGAATCGAACCTTCCTTAAAACTGTAATCCAAGAACTCGATGGAACACATTTGAACCCCTTTCAATTGATAACATCCTCTGTGTTTATAAAAGAGACAACATTATCCCAATAATATTTAGAGAATGGTTTGCAAATGTACCTTTTAATATCATATTTTAAGGAAATCCTGCAATATATTTAATTAGAAACAGAGTAACTTGGACTTTGGGCACCTTCTCTTTCTTGGCAAGGTAGTTTTATTTGCAGCCAAGGAGACTTTTTGATTATTTAAAAGTTGTGGGTGGTTTTGTCACACCCTCTCTATGTTAACCGTTATCAGCATCACGGGCAGCAGGAGGCCCTCATCAGAGACTAAAAATCCCTGATCACAAACTGAAACCCCAGAGGGTAGTTCCTGTCTTCTGAGCCATGTTTTTGAACAGAAGGGAAACCCATAGTGCCATCCTAAGCAAAATCCCACCCTTGTAAGCCCACTGCTATCAGTGAGCCTAGAAGGGTGTCACTCTGCAGAAGATGGCACTGTGGGCCATTCACACATCACAAAGCAGCTCCCAGTGAGCGTACCTGGGTCATAAACATTTTCACATGCACTCTCATGTTTTTAAAAAAGTTGTACGCTTAAAAACGGGAAATGTACACCTAAAGACCCCCAGCATGTATGGCATAAAAAATTGTTCCAAGGTCCTTTGAACTGAGAGTAATCAAAACATTTAAATTCAGAAGGCCTAAAGGCTGGCAAAGCTATACTGTCTGCAAACCCCACACCGCTCCCCAGTCCCCCAACCTGTTTTAAAGCACAGTTCTCTACGTCACAACTGCTATCATATAACTAAGCTGCATATGTAACCTTCTAAACAGCAGGCTTGGAAAGGTTCCAGCGTTGGCAATTTTTCTTTTCTTTTTCTCCCCCGTCTCCTCTCTCACTCTCTGCCTGAGTACCTGTACTTGGTAGGTTTCTGTTCTTTGATAAGCTCTTCTTATTTGCCGGGGCTGCCAATGCGTTCTTGGATCAGCTTCTCGCTCAACTCCCACAAGGCCTGAGCGGTTGTCTCGTTCTCTGCCTCTTCCGATGGGGTGCAGCGGCAGCAGTTGTTGAAGTACATCCCTCCCAGGCCTTCCAGCTCAGGGGCGCAAGCACAGTAGACACTGGTGGCGGCTCCTTGTTGCTGCAATTAAACAAAATGATGATATATGTGAGTTTTAAGAGAGGTCACGTCTGAGATACCTGACGAATAATGTCAGGGGCAATTTAGCAATTACACTTGGTCCCAGAGCCCCCGAAAGGCTTGGCTAAGACAGGGGTCCACTCTGCCTTCTTTCAGAGCATGCTGTTGTCAAGCAGGAACATCTAGTTAAGTACGGAGCCACCAGGTGTTGTTTTCTAATGAGCTACTAAAAGCATTACTCTTAAAAACAATAGAAGTATCCTGATAATTTATGTTATTTCTATACACACATCTCATCCATTCAATGATAAAAATGTAGGGTTGCCAAATTTGGGCTGGGAAATTCCTGGAGATTTGGGGGAAGCTTGGGGAGGGTGGAGTTTGGGGAGGGAAGGACTTCAGTGGGGTAGAATGCTATAGAGCCGTTTTCTCCAGGGGAACTGATCTTTGCTGTTTAGAGATCAACTTGTAATTCCGGGTTTCTCCAGGCTCCACCTAGAGGTTGGGAACCCTATAAATAATATAGCAGCAATAGCTAACAATGGGTAGACATTTGGGAAGAAAAGTGATGGTGCTTTCAGGCCAAGACCACAAAAGGTGTTCATCTGCCCCAGCTAGATAGCTCAATTTCAGGAATCCAACTCTTATACAACTTGACTGAATGAGTTGGCAGTTACTTTGGTCTACTGTCCCAGCGACAACAAAAGGTATTGGCATGTATGACTCAGGTTTGCCATCTGTCAGAGAACAGAGCTTGATGCTAATAATCATGAGGATTTTTTTAAGCCAACAGGTGTTGCAAGTCCCTCAAAGTTCTCTACAGGCAAGCACTCTTGGCCTCCTTCAGATGTAGGGTTGCCATTCCCCAGTTTCGAGAATGGGATACCCCAGTTTTTGGGGAAACTCTACCCCCAAACACCAACATTGCCACATGACATCCCCGATGTGCTGACGCCACACGGAAGTGAAATCATCGCATTGGAGCATTGCACGGCGACACTAGTTTTTGGGCAAAACTCTATGCTTTGATGTCGAGTTTTGCCCCCAAAACCAGACCGTCACTGCACAACATCCCCAATGTGATGATGTCACTTCTGTGTGATGTCAGCACATTGCATCGCTCCACCCCGCTCCCGGAACATTCTCTCCCACCCCCGCTGGTGTGGACATCGGATCTGGCAACCCTATTCAAATGCTTTGTTTAAAAAAAGGTGTTACAGTTGCGTCTTATTTCCAGATTGCTAACCCACTAGCAAAGGACTGCTTGCATGTAGAGCAGCACATGGGGGGCTCATAAATGGAGTGGGATAGCCCATAAGGCTAGGATTGAGGTGAGTGAGAAAAGAAAGAAAAAAAGGAAGTCATGGTAAGCAAGATAGGCTTAATGACCATCCAATTCATTCCTTTCCAGACCCATCCTATTCTTTTGCAAGGGTGTCTGGGCAGCATATTTCTACCTCCCCTTCACATGGAATTCACAGGGCCTTTTTAAGCAGAATTATAACCTGCAGCCCTAATAGCCCATACCAGCCTGATCTTGGATAGGAGACCACCAAGGAAGACTGGGGCTGCTACGCAGAGGAAGGCAAAGGCCAACCACCTCAGCTCATCTCTTGCCTTGACAACCCAGTGAGGGGGAACTTCATGGGGTTGCTATGAGTCATTGACTTCAATGTCCTTCGAAGGGCGCATGTAACTCTGCTTGGGACTGCACCATCAGTCTCACAAGCATGGCTGTTTCTGGTCATTTCACTAGTGCCCCCTGTCCTTTAAGTCTCTTGATGAACAATGAAACAGGACCACGTTAGCCAGTATGTTAAAGATTTGATCCGCTTTTACTGATAATACCGCTGTAGGCCAGATCAAAACGTAACCACAACAAATGCTCTTAAAAAGGAGCTTGCTTTTTTTAAAAAAAGAAAGAACGAAAGATCCAAGCGCAAACTTTGAACCATGCTGAGAATTTTTCTCACTTACTAAGACAACACCATCTATAGGAATATTTCACTGATCAAACAGTCTTTGGTGGGTCTTGAAGAGAGACACAAAAATATAGCTGTAGAAGCGAGGGGTGGGAACACACACACACGGTCACACAAGAAGCTGCCTTATACTGAATCAGACCCTTGGTCCATCAAAGTCACTACTGTCTACTCAGACCAGCAGCAGCTCTCCAGGGTTTCAGGCAGAGGTCTTTCATATCACCTATTGTCTGGTACTTTTAATTGGAGGTGCCAGGGATTGAACCTGGGACCTTCTGCATGCTAAGCAGATTCTCTACCACTGAGTCACAGCCCCCTCCCAAACTGACATCATTTGCACAGCTTGAAGTGTGTGGAGAGTCATACTTGTGCAGTGCACTTATGGAGCTCTGGTTCAGGTTGGCAGACTTTGCAAACATTCTGCTCTGTTTTCTTGATGGGTGGAAGCCACATCTATAGAGTTTGAGATCCTGTTTTAGCGTTGTAAAGGGGGGGGGGGCATGTTTTCCAGATTCCTTGACATTTACTGCTTTGCTGTTCTACGGCAACCTAATGGAATTTATTTTTTATTATTATTTTTTAAAACCCTTTTGTTCCAAACAAGCCTGGCCACTTCAATTATGGTCTATCACATAAAGTGCCACTGGGACTGGTGCCAAAACTGTCCATATATCTCCAGTCAACAACTTAAATGGTGTGGGTGACACCAGCCACAGTAAAGAATGTGGATCTTAATTTGTACAACTCCAGGGGTTTTCTGCTCTCTTCAAGTCCTGTTTCTAGCAATATATAAATCTTTATGAAATATGGTAGCTAGGCTAGAGCTGGGAAGAAGCCATTTGCTCCCTAGTGTCCATTTCTCTCCATTCAAAGCATAAACCTACGCAAGTAGGACTGCCATGCCTCACCACCACCCCACCTGTGGCCGTCTAGAGGCAAATGGTTGAATATGGAGTTCACAACTGTATGTCTTGAGTGGGGCAATTTAGATGAGGAAAAGGTACAGGAGAAGGCAGAATCCTGCTTCCTGGAAATATTGGTGGTTCATTGTTGCAACAAAAGAAGTTTCTAGCCCTCATGGCTGCATGAAAACACAACGACAGTGCCTGTCGAAACCAAAGGAATATGATTAAGGAACAAACTAAACTGTACTCTGGAAGATCCCTGACTGGACTACTACTGTTCAATTTAAATGCCTTGGGTGGGGTGATAATGTGATTGGGGAAGGGGCAAATGGGCTCAGATTGCTAACACCTCCTATACCTTTTTCTTGCTCTAAATTACTCCGCTTCAGTTACAATTTTTTGGGGGGGGGGGGGGGGAAAGGGAGATACAGGTACAATGCGTGCTGCTGCTATTTTCCTCCTGTAAAACAAATATGGGGGTGACTGCGGAAATGGGAAGGGTTAAATGTCCCCAGCTCTGCTCCCCCGATAAAATCAGCAGCTTCTGTAAAACCCACAAACCCATGTCCCGGTCTCCACATGAACTAAGGAAGTGAAATTCCTGATCCCCTGTAGCCCTCAAGCAACAGGAGGGCTTGTTAAGGAGACCTTAGCCCCCTTTAATTCAAAGCCCTGCCATTCCCCCATCCAACAGCTGCATTCAAGAAAGAAAGAAAGAAAGAAAGAAAGAAAGAAAGAAAGAAAGAAAGAAAGAAAGAAAGAAAGAAAGAAAGAAAGAAAGCTTGGAGATTGGCTGTAGGTTTTCCAGTATATAATGTAGGCTCGCTCTGAGAATTCTAGTGTAGGGATGCTGGCCTTCCACATACCTAGCAAAAACAGGATGTACTATGCAAGATGGTAGAACAAATGTTAGGGGGGAAATGAGCCTAAGACCACTGCTTGATTTGTCTGACATAGATGGGTCACAGGACTGACCTGAACTTGGTGCAGAATTAGGGTTGTTTGGGAACAGCCTGTTAAATACTTTTAAATGTGGAATTAGAACAGCACTCACGCTATATGCTTGCCAGCCCATTGCTGAAATCAACAGAATGCAGGCTGAGTGTCTATGAGGAAGGCATGGTTCCATTTTGCTTGGAAGCCGGAATTAAAAATAATAGGTTCGATCACTTAGGGAGATAATATGCATTCAGGCCTAATTTAAAACCAATACAGTTTATCCAGCGCCTCATGAGAATGTGAGTGTATTCATGACTCTGGTAAATAATTATAATTCTATAGCAACCTGGATAAAAGAGATTGTTGAATCTGGCACCCCAAAAATTTAGCCGGGGTAAGTAAGTACTGAACTGATGTGGCAGAGGCAATTTTTTTCTCCATCCCAATGCTTGTTTTCAAAGTTATTTTCCTCTCTGCAGTGTTTATGGCAGCTCACAGGCTTGACAATGAATCAACAACAGGACGGGTAATCAGGTAAAAGGGCCTCCCTGAAAGGTATCCTCTTCCAGTGACGCTAACAGCCCAATGCAACACCGGCCAGGCCAATAAAAATAGGGCTTAGAATGAGGTGTTCAGACCGCCGTGCCAACTCAATATAACTGTAGACCAGCACCGCAGGACTTGCATTTGTAATGTGTGAACAAAGGGCTGATTCACTCAGGCATGCAGGTCATTTGATAGTTCATCACACCAAGGATTAGCCAGCTGAGTGTGTGAACCAACTCCAGAGAATATATTTCTGACAGTCTGATCCACTACACCTAAGTCATCACAACAGTTTGAATGTGTTAGTATAGCATTCCTTCCATAACTCAGTTGTGTAGCCCTGGAGAACCGTAGATCTGTACTTGCAAACATCTGCTCACTGAGCAATACCATCTGCTGGGCTGCCGTACTGGGGTGTCTGTCTACTGTTGATATGTAACAAGGGCAAGGGACTAAAGCAGGGGTCCCCCAAGTGGTGCCCACGAGTGCCATGGCACGTACCAAGTTGTTTTAGAAAGTGAGTGAGGCCAGGTAGGGCTCCTGCCCACCAGAGCTTCTGATTGGCCACTGGAAGTCTGATTGGCTGTGCAGATTAAAATAATGTTTCGGTGGCAGCTTCCAGTACAGGGTTGGTTTTATTCTGTCTCTCCCTCCTCTTTCCCAGTTTCTTTTAAAAATAGGGCTGCCAGACCCCAGGTCCAGGTGGGGGATCCCCCGCTTTGAGGGCTTCTCCCCACCATGGACCAGCTGGCTGGCAGGGGAAACCTCGCCCCTGAACTTCACCCCTGAACCTCGCTTTGCCATGCGACATCCCCAATGCAATGATGTCACCCGGAAGTGATGTCATCGTATTGGGGATGTCACACGGGGACACTCTGTTTTTTGGGCAAAACTCTGTGGTTTGAGGGCAAATTTACAATAGTTTTACCCCAAAACCAGAGCATCACCCCTGGCATCCCTGACACAGTGATGTCACTTCCAGGTGATGTCACACATTGCACAACATCCCTGCTCTCCCCCAGAATGCTCCCCAAATCCCCCTGCCAGAACAATGAGGATAACCTGGCAACCCTATTTTAAAAAGTACCTTTATCCCCTGTTCTTGGGTTTCTTCTATATGTTTGGCTCCACCTTCCATCATGGCCATTTTATGGTTGGCTTCACCTCCCACTGGGCCCACTTTGTGGCTGCACCCTCCATCCTGTGTCAGGATTCCAAAGGTGCCCAGAGGCCCAAAAATATTGGGTTCCCCTGCAATGCTCCCTCTAAGCTGTGGAGTCTTGTGAGCAAAAATTCTACTTTGTGAGCTACTGGCATTAAAGTTGTGAGCAAGCAATTTGGCTACTGCATAAATTAGTTTGCTCTGGAGCCATCTTTACTGAGCGAAGACAAAAATCTGTGAGCTGGAGGCTAAAAAAACTGTGAGCTAGTTCAAACTAACTCAGCTTAGAGAAAACACTGTTCCCTTGTACTAGAGGATGCAGGGACTTTCTGCATCTATAACGGGGTAACATCGTGATTCCAGCTCCTCAGGAAATGAAGAGAACAGCAAACCTCAGAGGAGCTGATCACTATATTAAGGACCAAATGAATTTGTAAATAAAAAAGTCTTCCTTCAGAGAAATGAACTAGTTTTCATTGACAAGCTGCTTAAATGTTCTTAAAATTTACCATATCACATGATGTCTCCTTAAGCATTTCTTCTTTTGAAACTGGTTCACTTGCTTTGCCCCGAAGGAGAAGTCTTGTGACTCAAAACATACTGAGTTGGATCCAACAATTTCCATCCACCAGTTGGAATCAATGGCTTCCTTCCTCCAAAAAAGAAAGACTTCCTTTTGTCAGAGGAAGGCTTTCTCCATAGAAGGAAACTTTATTAGAAAGAAATCTTTGTATCACATCTTTTGGGACTTTAAAGTTTGTGTTTGGGACCTCCCTTCTTCTCCGCTTCTTGTTTTCATCCCCTCAATTTAAGCAGCTGTCAAAGCAGCAAAGATCTAGAGACTGTTTACTTAGCCCTGGTTTTTTTAAATAGGAATCAATGGGTTAGCCCAGCACCCCAAATGATGGGCTTGTTAGCCAACATCTCCGTCCACAGTCAACATCTTGGTCCACATTTGAAGGTGATAGTTCTAGGGTGGCTTTGCTTGTCTTAGGCCCTGTTCATACGAGCCCATTTGGGCCGGGAGTGGGACGGAACGGGGGCGGAGCAAACCGGCGCAATCCCACCTCAACATCTGGGGAGCGTGCCGGATCCGTCCCGGATCCGTCCCTTCCAGCGTTGCTCCACGCCAAAAAAGAACCACCTCCCGAGGTGGTTCTTTCTGAAGGGCCGCAGCAACGCTGGCCGTGGGATCACCGGCGCGTCCTTGCGCCGGTGCATCCCCGGCTCCTGGCTGAACTGCACATGTGTGAGCATGCGCAGTTCGCCAGGCTCCCCTTCCCACCGTCGCTTTCTCCCCGGCATCTGATCGTGCCGGGGAGCGTTGCGACGCGGCTCGGGAGATCTGTGAGATCCCGCCGCGCCGTCCCAACTTTGCTGTGGCTCACAGTAGCCGCAGTACAAGCGTCTTATTCCCTGCCGTGTGGCAGGGACCTTACTTGGGCAAAATGTTGTGAAATATACAAATATGGCTAAAGTTCAATGGTATGTTCCACTGGGTCCCAAAGTGGATTGAATGACAGAGCTCTGCTATTTGAGGTTGGTGTGAGGATGGTTGATTGGGGAACGTGGATGAACTCTACTGTCCAAGAGATGGGGACAGGGCCAATCTTGAATCTAAACTTGGAATCCGTTCACATTTACATCTACTTAAGCTCTGATTAGGCCTTAGTCCTTTCAAACCTGGAATTTGAAAGCTCTTATTCTTTTCAGTGGAGCTGATATAGTTCTCATTATTTTCAAACCAAGTACACCTATTCAAGT